TACTTAAATGATCATTAGTGGCTTAAAAATACCAGAAAAGCGATGAAATTCGACTCATATATGTTTTATACGAGTTAAAACCTCTCTACCAAATGTATTGAGGATTGGTCCATAAGAAAATTACTTTAACGATATTTGCTGACGTAAAAGTACGTGAACTGTTATGAAATTTTATATACCTTTATAGGAACGTAAATCTTTCTACCGAATTTCATGCGGAAAGTGTCGGGAAGTGATATTCGATGTAAAGATGTTTTGTATGAACCAAAATTGGTCTAAAAAAATTTTATGAAAAACGGTCAATTATTAACCCTATCTCTCATATAAGGTCCTCTTCAGTTAATTTGTTGAGTAGTATCGCCCTGATGTTTATAAGGGAGCATTCCTTTTAAGGCATACGGTTTGATGATGGGTATATGAGATTCGGCACAGCCGAATATAACACTCTCACTTGTTAATGAAACAAGTCGTAATTCCAAATATTTACACAATATTCAATTTCCAATTCGAAGACAAGTAATATCATTGACAATAGATTGTGTAAAATTGCGAACTGTAGCTTCATTACAAATCAATATTAATCATTAGTCTGGTTTTGGTTGATCCCCTTATTGCTCAATATACATAAAACGATGAGTATTTTTTAAATACTCAGAATTATAGTAATGACTGATGAGTAAAGTAAATAAATTTGGACAATTAATAACTCGAGTATAAAAAAACCCTCAATTTGTTATACGTAAATAGTTGGACTTTGAAATTATTTTCACCTTTTGGGGAAATTATCATAAAAAAGAATTTCTATCTAATAAGTAATTACTTGCTGAATTTTCAATTTTAAAAAAGTAATAATAAGGCTGAACCTATTTGTGTAGATCCTAAAAAATATAACTTAATAATAATATATGAATGTCTGTATGTATGTTAAAAACAATTTTCTGAAGACTCTAGATCAAAATTTTTCAATAACATTAGTTTTTCGAGATATCGTGTATATAATTTTTAAAGTCAACATATTACACATTCAGATGTTGTGTGGAGGGAATATACATTTCACAAATACCGCTGTTACTTCTTAAAAATAATTTATGTTTATGTTTTCACATAGATTACCGAGATCTATACAAATTTAGAAAATTATTTCTGGTATTCAAAATTTAAGCCCAATAAGATCCATTGTATTCACTCAATGTACAAATTTAATAAAGTAAATGTGTTAGTAGTTAACGCTGCCCCTTACTGCGTTGAAAAAATAAGTCCGAACATAACTCTCCATTAAAATCATCATTAATTTCTTTATTGGGGCCACCCTAATTTTATATGTTGTTATTATTTTTGGGGATTTTATGCGAATGTTTGAAATCACGTTCTTGTTCCAAAAGTCATTTCATAATTTCGTCATAACTTTTTTTATTTAGTCGTATTCTTTGCCTAAAACAAATATTTTGATTATAATTCATTATATTGTGGTATATTTTTATCTTACTGCTATGTGACATAATTAGCGTAATATATCTGGGAAAACTTTAAGAAGGTATATCGAACACATGCGGCCATAAAATACCCTGCACTAGCTATGAGGATTGCAATTGGATCAGACAGATCTTTAAAAAGATGTCGCAATGCTTTACTGTGGTATATCTGGTATGAGCAGAGTAAACCCTGAACATACTTGGACAATGAAGGAAAATCCAATGGTATCACCTGTATAAGATACCTTTTATCTATCACCATTCAACCCAGCATACTTTTTATTCAAACGACACACTCATAGGGAGTAACATCTTGGTATACGGACGGGTAAGATCCGCATACCCCTACATTCATCCTGTATCATATACAATCAACACAATCTCATTTTCAATATTTAGTCCCTCTGTGGGGTATCTGTTGTCTTGGCAACAGTAGTTATCCGTACTTATCCCTTTACCTCGCATCAGACTTTTAACTGACATTCTGTTCCCGCAAATTTGGATTTAAACCTCTGCCACCACAAGCACCCCGGAGGGACCTGTCTAATAACCGGGTCTAGACAAAGTTCAAAACTCTGCCATACGGGCTACCGGTTCCCATGGTAACAGATTATGTCATGTCAAATCATTCCAAGGAAAAGCCGAGGATACATGTGATCCGCAGACTAGAGGTACTGGTAGCACCATTCTTCCTCGGGATTGCAATAACACCAAGATGAGGGTCTTTCATCAAAGTAGATGCCCCCGGGGGGAAGACAGATCTTTAACAATTTCAGTTGCTATATTTTTAGTAAGTTTTTGAGTTTTGAGTTGAATATTGGAAAATCTCCGGTTTGTGGCCTTATAGCAGATCGATAATCCTCACATAATTGTTAAGTTGTCGTGAGAACATAATATTATGTAACTTATTTATATAGTTATTGCAATATCGTTATTAACAGGAGTGTTATGGGGATTGGTCACTTTGTGGATAAATATCGTGTACTTAAAAAGAGAACTGTAAAGAAAATATATAGCTCTGAGATTAGGCATGGTTCCTATTGTTATAAAACGTAAAATGTGAACAATGCAAAATTTGTTTAAATCGTAGGGTATTTATTTCATTAAAGCTCTATTTGTTATAGGCAAATATCTTTTAGGTATTACTCATATTTTTTTGATTTTGAAAAAGGCAGACGTAAATAATTTCTTGAAACAAGTTACGATCTATATAAATTATAATTCTACAAATTCAAATTTAAATTATGACTTAAATTTTTTTCTAACAACACTTCTAATGATAACATATTGTGTATGTGTGTTTAAATATTACTGTGATTTGATGTACAAATATTTTGACGTGCAAATAACAACGCGTTGCAACGTCACAATATTAAAGATAGTTATTTCCTTATCAGTAGTATATACTGTTAATGACTGCTTTTATTTTATTATATAATATTAGAAATAGCCATTAATACGATTGCATACCCAAAGGCTTAAATTGTTCATAAAACACGTGCTAGAGCGTTTGTGACTAAAAGTGCTTAACATGTAATAATGCATTTGTTTTTTAACTATTAACTACATAATAAGACTAAGGAATGTTTATTGTATCATAAGATTTGTAACGCTTTTTAATCTGTAAAATGCGACATGTAGCGTGCGCACAAGGTTTACATAGATACACAGACGGACGGACGGACGGACGGACAGACGGCCATAGCAAAAGTGATTCTGTGCCGATTGGTATACTTTAAGGTGGCTGCAGGACCACTATAGTAGTGTAGGTTATAAAAATTACGTCTTAATTCATACCTAAAGCATATCTCTTCTTAGTTTGCTCTGATCAATTCATTTCTTCTCATTATCAACGTCAAACTAATATGAAAAGCTATAACATGTATCTCCCATCCAGTGGTTCATAAAAGTCACAACGACCGCCTGTAGCATACCCAAATATTACTCAAATACATGTGTAGTCGATATGTTAATCAATTAATTATTTTATTGTTTTTGTTCAAAAATAGATTAAAAGAAAAAGTAATTATATTTTGTGTCATTTTTTATAGCTTATCTATTTTTTTTTTTTTTTTGTCCACTGATAGAACACATCTAAATACAGGGTGCTAATTAGAACAAATGAATTCAGCAAAAATAAAGTTTATTTAATTACCAGCAATAATTTAAATAAACAAATATTTAAACAAATTTGTAATTTCACAATTTTATTCAAAGTAGTTCTCATTTTAGGGTGACCAAAAAAGTAGAAAACAAATAATTTAAATAAATAAACTTCTTTTGTAATTAACATTTCTAAGGAACATGTCAAACATTCTAGGAAGTTGTATTTGACAAATTGTTACAATTTAATGATTCATTGCGGCCTAAAAGCATGCACAAATTTTCTTGTATGTGCAGCACCTGGTTAAAGTTTAATTAATTTTGTTATATATATATATAGTTTTTTTTATCTGACACCTTATCATTCTTGTCAATTAAAACTAAAGGGAATTAAAGTGACCAGATTTAAATTTGAGATAATTTTGAAAGTCACCCTGAAAAATTATGAGTGGATAGTGATTTTGTCATTGTGTTTATAACACATCGAAACATTTATCGACTGATCCAGAAAAGTATAAATTTACTGGGTTCTAATATTCTATGACGATCTTCCTATATCCATCCGTTTGTTAGATTAAAGATAAATTATTGATCGATAGATTAAGAAAAGTTCATATTACTGGGTCCTTATAATATTCTATGACGATTTAACTAAGTCCATCTGTCTGTTGAAGACAAACAGTTAGGGTCCAAATGAAACGAACACAATGCTCGATAGATTCAGAAAATTATATATTCACTGAGTGTTAATAGGATTCTATAACAATTTAGCTATGTCTGTCTATACGTCTGTCTGTTCCAAATGAAAGGAAGTATAGAATGAGAAAAGTATAAATTTACTGGGTTCTAATAGTTTATGATGATCTTCCTATGTCCGTCCGTCTGTTAGATTAAAGCTAAAATATTGGTCGATAGTTTAAGAATATTTCTGGCTCCCTATAATATTCTATGACGATTTAGCCATGTCCGTCTGTCTGTTGAAGACGGACAATTAGGTTCCAAATGCCATGAACACAATGATTGTTAGATTCTGAAAAGTATATATTCACTGAGTGATTATAGGATTCTATAACAATTTAACTATATCCGTCCATCCTTCTGTCTGTTGAAGGCATGTTAGGGCTCAACTGAGAGAAAATTGAAAGTGAGTTATTTTACAAATGTCCTGTATATATGAATAGAAGATGCAAACCTTAGTTTTAATAGAATATTTTATGAAAGTCTGTCTATAATTAACACGAGTCCATTAAGATCGGTTCACAATCGAGCCAAATCTATATCTGAAGTAATCTTTCGGTAATCACTTAGATATGAAGTTATTATTTTATTATTAATACTTTTTTCTCACCACCTGGCCACCTTAACCATCACTAAACAATTTTCTATATATAAAATTTAAAAATTTTCTATCATTTGTAATCAGTTAAAGACCGGCATTTGAACAAGTAACATTAATATTTCCACATTTTAAAATAAACTAAAAAGAAATCGCGTAAATTATTCTCGTTTTTACATTTACAAAAAAAAATTATATTCGGCAAAGTTTTGTGCTTGAAATTTTAAGTGAATTTTCGTGTACGTAACTGAAATAAACCACAAAAGTACTATTTTAACAAGGATATTAAGACCAAATAAGTGTACACATACAAGCAAACGCACACACACACTCATTGCCATAATGTTGTCATATAAAGTGCATAAAGTATTTGCAACAGTTTTAATGTTGACAATTTTAATAGTTTTTTGTGCACCAACGGAAACAGAAGCAAGACGTGTCATCTTTTATACGAAAGCATCTGTAAATAAAGGACAATTATTTGCGACATCACCTAAAATGGAGCCATGTCCAAAATGTCAAATGAGAGATCATCGTGGTCGCTGTCGACGTGTAATATCATTTAAGCCCGGTAAATATAATTATTTTGCAAAAAGATGCACTTAAAATAATTGCAAAAGCATTCGCAAGCATTTGCAAATACCCTGCAGTTCCGAATTTATACACATATATTTTTAATCATTTGTCACGTAATGCATAAAAATACTAGTTTGTGAAATTTAAGTCAAACTGCAGGGTATTGTGTGAAAGTATGTATATGACTTTTAGGGGCAGTTTCATATACTTAAAACTAGTAAAATTAAATAGTCTTGAATATAATACTCACATAAGCTTTGATTTCAATATGAAATACCTACGTCAAGAGTATTTAACTTAAGCCATTTGTATTAAAGTATGTAGTACATTATCGTACACACTCCGTCACATACACACTTCTACCATCATGGTCATTCACTGGTTCTTATCAATTGTAATCTACAATTAAACATGTATTGAAATGTCATACCTTCTTAAAGTATTTTATTCAATTTCATTTCAATTGATTGAGTTTTGCTTTTTAACAATCAATTATTTACAAACTTGCGACATTTCTATTTATCTTTTGACCACATAAAAATTAAGACATCATATCTAATCAAAATTAAAAAACAAATTGAAATTTTTATTGTTATTGTTGTTTTACAAAAACATTGTAATTTATATATTAAATATTATTGTTATTGTTAATTTATAAAATTTTATTTTTTATTATTTTTAGATGAAAAATGTTGAAAACATTCATTCCCTGGCAGGAATTTCTTATTTATTATTTATTGGATGGAATCTCGTAAGACTGTTTAAAAGGCAATTAATCAACACAACTGTGTGCAGTATTATTACGATTTAAATTATTTTAAAATTATGTAGTATTAATAAAATTAATATGTATGTTATTTTCGTTAGATATAAGTTTTTAATTTATTTATAAATGTATTAAAAATTAAAAAAATATATATATATTTTAATAAAATGTTGGTGAAATATGTATAAACTAAAAATTGTCATATATTTGGAATATTGTCCTGAGCCAATAATTTTTAGATAAAATAGTTTTTAGGATCATTTTAACATGTTTAACTTATCTCATTTTACAAAAAAATTGACAATTTGAGAGTCATTAGCATCAACGAAAGAATAATTATAAATGGTTAATTCAGCATTTAATAACTTTTTCATTGAGTAATCTTAATTACGTCGTTCTACTTGGCTACCACCTTACCATCAATATAATCTTATCGCAAAATTGATTTGCTAATAGATATTTGTTTTAAATATATGTTGTCAATACAGGCCGTTATCAGTTATGTTTCGCATTTAATGGTTAACCTGTGATCGTTATTCATTTAGCAAGATTTAGCCAATAATTTTTCCCATTTTCAACACCAAACATACTACTTAGTAGAAAGTATTTGTAAACAATTTAGTTTCGTATCTTCTCTCGTGCCTCCAATGGGTCATCTAAAAATCGTATAAGAACCCGAAATATACATACTTCTATGGGTTTGCTATTAACATTTCGGTGTGTGAACGGAACGGAATGAATATATAGGAAGAATGTATATATACTTACACTATGCCGTATTCTATATTTGCCCATCATGTCTCTGTGTTTTAATTATGGACTGACCTGTACAAATTTAAAAATGTGACTAATTTTTATAAATTTTTTTTTTTTTATTTAAAGCGAATACACTCTCGGACTTATATATTTTTATATCATATAATTTTTATCCGTTTTATTTATTATTTATTAAAAGTATACTTCTGTATTCTGTAACAACACACGTGCAATGGATTAAAAATTTAGAAATTTTAAAAAATCAAAATGTTTTATATGGGCATTTTCAATATAACAAAATTTGTTATATTGTCACTAGAATTTCTAAAAATGTTATATTTATATAAAACATACTACCGATTTGAACTTAGAAAATTCCTTAAAAGTCCATAATTCACTTATAAACATTAGTATGTATTAAAATTAGGCAAAGCATTTTCCGGCCCTGTAACAATTTTGAAAATTTTACACATGGAAAAGCTGATATGCATGTGAAACTGGAATCCATTTAGAGCAATTCTGCATACTCCGTTTTTTATAATCAGCTCTTATGTCCTTATAAAAGGACTTCAAAGTTTAAAGGACTTACAAATTCAAATGAATATTTTAAATATTTATATATGTTGTATGATGCTAATATTGGTATCAAATGAAAGCTGGGAGTCTTTACCTTCTATCCATATTATTTATTTGACTCACTTAGACAAAAAATCAAAAATTAAATTAAATTTAAAACAGGTCTCATTTTCGAAACAAACATTTTTAACTATTTTTTTGGAACACATTTTCTTTAAGCTTTCATTTCTTTTGAATTGAAATATATAACATTATTTTGAAGCAGAGGTTCTCAGCTTCAGTTGATATTAATATCAAATTTTTTATATAAATTTGGAATTTCACATTTTGAAATTCAATGTCCTTTAAACTTTAAGGTCCTATTACAGGGGCATAAGAGCGGATTATGAAAAACTGTGTACACTGAGTTAAAACTAATGGTCCACAGTTTCCTGTACACATAGATTTTTTTATGTGTGAGAATGACTGTTGCACGGTGTAATTGGTTATAGCTCCCATATAAAATAGCTCCGTGAATTTTTTCCGGATCGACCCTTAATCAACCATAGCTTCCAGATCATTCCAGATCACACAAATCATTCTGCTTATAATAGGCCATAGCTCACATATAAGATCCTCTTCCGGAAATCACTTTAAAGATCAAAATTCTGTGCAATTGTTATTATGGAACTTAATTAATGCTTTTAAAATTTAGAAATATACGACATCTTTATACAAATCTAGCTTATAGGTGAAGGGTATTTAATATAGTTATGGGCCAAACAAATTTTTAAGAAATATTTTTTGGTTTGTTTATAATAAGACATGGGTGCACCGGTAGTAAGCTAGCCTGTTAGTCTGGGGGTTGTGGGTTCGATTCTCACTAGAGACCCCGATCTGTTACACTACAATGGGCGTATGGTCATCGTCACACTGCTCAGTAAATAATGTTGAGCAAGGTGTAATTCTATTGTAATGGATGAATAAATAAATAATAATATATATTTGTACCCTACACCACTATAGTGGGGAGGGTATTATGCATTTGTGCTGATGTTTGTAACACCCAAATATATTGGTCCTACCTTAAAGTATGCCAATCGACTCAGAATCACGTTCAGAGTCGATTTCGCTATTTCAGTCTGTCCGTCCGTCCATATGTCTGTGTGTCCATGTAAAGTTTCTGCGCACGCTACAGGTCGCAATTTACAAGATGAAAATTTTGCACATACTCTTACCCAAGGACGAATGCTATTGAAAATGGTTGAAATCGGTTCATTATTTCGCCTAGCCCCCCTACAACCGTCCCCCCTTTTGATTTGATATCACTACATGCTAAAAAGGATAATATCCTATACAACCATGCCCCCTTTTGATTTGATATCACTACATGCAAAAAAAGATAATATCGTGCGATATCCTTCGAAAACACTTGTACCATTTTTCATCAAAAATGATCAATATACGTCAAAATAAAGCGTGTGGTGAAGTCGTATCCATCAAAAGTCCAGCGATTTAGTTTTGTGTGTGAAAGGGTTAAACCACATTGGCAATTTTTGTAACGATCGGGCCTTATTTGACCCCATAGGATAGACCATATTTACCCACATTTTGAGCCCTCTTGTAGAAAATCTTTTTTTGTCAACAAAAAGTAAAAATATTCCAGAATTAAGGTAAAAATCAAATTAAATGCTTTAAAATTTAAAAAATAATCAATATTTTTAACATTCTCACTGATATATCATATGGTCGGTTGTGCCCGACCATACATTTATACTTGTATTTTATTAAACAATTTTTTTGATCAACATAGTTTTGTTCGCAAGTACACCAGAACAAGTAATTGTGACTAACTTGAATAAAAATTCATTATGGCCACAATCAAAAAGAAAGAATGATATATCAGTTTATTAACAAATTGACCTAAGTCCCATGCATCTTCAAAAATCTCCCACAAGTATAATAATAAAATTAAATATAAATATTTTCCAAAATGTTTGTGTGAATTTCCTTCTATATACATATCATATTCTTAAAAAAGTTAGTGGTATAGGGTGTAATACCGTCAGATATGCCGGTTTTTAAATTATCATTTCTTTGTATTCTAATATAGCTGGAGAAACATATATGTACATATACATATTTATGTTTCTGATAATAATTCTTTTTCGTTTCTTTTTAAAAATATAATCACTATTTTTAGACCACCCACTAGTATGTTATTTTGGGTATTGATTTGTGTGATGTATAAATTTATAAATAGTCATACAGAATTTTTAAAATAATTTTATATTCAGAAAATATTTTGCTATTAAAATGTATACTTTCAGGCTGGCGATAAAAAAAAGCTCTCTTTTAAAAGATTTCATTGTGTCAGAGATGAGACATTTCATAAAAATGGACAGCACCAAAAAGTACGTTGGTACTATTCTGAATAATTTTTTGGCGTAATTTAAGTATACCCTACACCACTATAGTGGGGAGAAAATTATGTGCCGATGTTTGTAACGCTTAGGTTCTAAACCCAACATAAAGTATACCGATTGGCTTATAGTAATTTTTTCTGAAACGATTAGTCCTTCCATGTGTCTGTACATCTGTCTGTTCATTCAAACTACAAGCCACAATTTCAATGAAATTAAACCGGTCTATTATTTCACCTAGCCAATAAAGTTGTGGAGCTCATAGTTATGTTAAGTTCCAATATTTTATGAAAAATCTTCAGATTTTCAAAGTGATCGGATCTCATTTGATCCTAGCCCCCATACAAAGTAACTTTCAGAAAATTACTTGAACATAGATAATAAATTTTAAAAATCTGTTGAAACTGATGTATGGTTTTGTGGCATATTATTTAATTTCATCAATAGATATGTGATAAAATTATTTTTTTACCTACTTCTCGCAACTTTAATTGAACGGTTTTCCAATGTTAAGTAATTAACTAATTATAAAATAATTAATAATTAAATATAACACGTGTATGTACTATAATGTATGATAAATTGATTATATGCATTGCATATCTATTTATAATTATACATAAATATATATCACATTATTGCGGGTATTCCTCTAGACCATGTTGTCAAGTTCATAGTTTTCATAAAATCTCAACGTCATTAATAAATGATAACGTAAAAGTATTATCTCTCACTTTTAGTAAGTTATTTTCCAATGAAATTCTTTAGAATCATAGTCACTTAATATTTATAAATAAATATTGTACAATACGTAATAATAACTGTTGTCAGGAAATTTACTTTTTGACTGCACGCCATGAGCAAGCTGTTTTTATTTTGTTACTTTAGAAATCGGAAATAAATATTACGAGTATAACACGACAAAATTGATTTTGAAATTCTATATTTTTATAACTAAAGAATTTGTTTTTTATTGTAAATTATAATATTATATGATATATATGAGCGCACAGTGTTAAGAATTAGAAAATATAACAATTTAAATTTTTTTTAGGAACTTAGACAATATTAATAAACTGAATTAAATTGAAAACATGTTGAAGTGTTACACTCGATTTTGCTGAATCTTGTAAATACTCCATCAGGACATTTAAATTTAATAAGGAATAAATATCATCAGAGTTAAATTCGGAATATGATCTCATATGAAGTTTATAATATTTGTAGATCAAAACCTACAAATTTAGAAAGCTTAATAAATTTCATTCTATATTGATAACTTTATATTTAAACGGTTTGTTTTCCGAAAGTTTTGGGGTTAAGTTTTTTATGGATCAATTTTCTAATTATACTGTGATTTCAATAATTAAACAAGAAAGAAATTATAGTCGAGCGAAGCCGACCATATAATACCCTACACCTGTTACAAAACTAAAATGTGATTTAGTTTTCATAATAAAGCATTTAAGTTGAATTGTACCTTGCCTTGAATTGTACTTAAGCCATTTATTGTTGAACAACATTGTGGACATTTAAGTCAAATTTTGAAGAGGGATTTGTATAGGGGCTATGGTCAAATGAGACCATATAATTATAAAATTCATGAGAGTCATCAAGGCTGGTATAGAACTTGGTTTTGCAGCTTTTTGTCGAGATACGAGTATATATATCGGGTTCAGTTGTATGGGGGCTAGGTGAAATAATGGACCGATGTTAACCATTTTCAAAAGGAGTCGTCTCCGGTACCATAGAGGATGAAATTTGGCACATTCATTGAATTAGCTTCAAAATTGCTACCTGTAGTTTGATTACAAGGTTTACAAGCCCTATTCAGGGGTTCAGTTGTATGGGGACTAGGTGAAATAATGGACCGATCTTCACCACTTTCAATAGGGAACAATAGAAGATCATGTGCCAAATTTGAATTATCTTCAAAATTGCGACCTGTAGTTTGTTACAAGGTTTGCATGGACGGACGGACATAGCTAAATCGACTCATAAAATGATTCTAAGCCGATTGGTATACTTTAAGGTATAGGACCAATATTATTGTACGTTACAAACATCAGCACAAACCCAATATACCCTCCCCACTAAAGTGGTGTAGGGTATAAATATTATAGTGGATGTTAACATCTTTTCTGAAAGTGATTATTTTGGAGTAGGTACTTCAAATTTATTTGTAAAACATTTTGCATTCTCTGGCCCTCGTTTTTTAATTCAGCCTTCGTTGTGTCGAATGGTTAACGATTGAATCGTTTGGTTAACATTCACAAGTTGTACTGATCGATAGAAATAGTGCCCTACATTGTCATGATGGAATACCTCTCAATCGATGCGTATTAATGTACTTATGTACTTAACACGGATGGCTCTAAATTGGACGACAAAGTGGGCCTGGGGTTCTATATTGAAGAGCCAGAAATATACCACTGTTTACCTAATCATAACACAAGCTTACAGGTAGAAGCCCGAACAATAACGAAATGTGTAAATTGTAGTAGAATATATTTACCGACAGCCAGAAGGCAATTAGGGCGATATCAGGTGATAGAATTAAATCTAAGTCTGTATTGGATTCTAAGAAAGCTTTAACTGATTATTCTACCAGAGCTAAAGTTTACATCACTCGGGAGTAGTCGGCAGTGAGCGAATGTAACAGCTTTAAAGGGTAGAGAGCTCGAGGTAGTTAAGCTGACGAAGGCAAAACCTTTGGACGCAACAAAAGCTGAATTAAAAATATGGGTAAGAGAATCCCATAAGACCTCTTGGAATAATAAAACGGTGGGCAGAACCACAAAGATCCTATGGGGTGGATCTGATGAGAGCAAGACGAGAAATCTCCTCAAAATGAGCAAGTGTGACGTGCGGATTCAGACGAATGTAGAGCATGTGGAGAGGACAGTGAAACTTTGTAGCACTTTCTTTGCCACTGTCAGGCATTCGTCGAAGTTAGATCCAAGTATCGTGGAAGTGATGTTATTCCGGAAATAACATTCCTGACTAATACTGATTGGGAAATTTTTATGAATTTCGTCTAGGAAACTGAGTTTCTGAACATTGAAAAATAATACATTATGTGAAAAAATTTTGTTCATAAAAAGGAGCGCACAACAGGCCCGATAGTGGCCTAGGTGTACTTCTTCGGGTTTGATGTAGTATACATCCTCCTATCAACCTAACCTAATCTAACAAAAAAAAAAAAAAAAAAAAACAAAACATAAAATTTTTTGAAGAAGTTCCTTTGGACTTTGATCTCAGAACAATATGTTAATAATGTATTCAAAAGTAGTATTTGCAATCGCTTGTAGGGAACTATGGCCCTATGATAAAAAATATTTTATATTTTTCTAGTATTTAGTACCTCCTGTATTCCAACAAAAAAGTGGTCCACCGGACACCCTAATAATAATACTTCATCTCTTGTGGATCCTGAATTTTTATGTTATAGACAATCTGGTAGAGATAAATAAATAGTGAATATCGGACCAAAGGACCATTTTCCCAAAAACGCGACCAACTATAATTTTGCACATTAAAAGAATTTCAAAATGATACTTTTCGACATACTGTGTGACGAAAAAGTGCCAGGAAAAGCAATCATCATCGATTTTAGCACATTAAAGAAAAAACAATAATATTATCTAAAGAATTTTTACGTTTTGGGATTTACTTAATGATAAAGAATGAACATGTACGAAGTGAACAAAAAAAAAACTAAGTGTGAAACAACAAACGCCAATTGAATGTGCGACAGTTTATATTAATAATAGTACAAATACTGTATTTTTGCGCTTATCTAATCGAAATAAAAGAAATTATTAACATTTTTATCAATATACAATTTCATGATATGTAGGTCTGGTCTGGGCATAGAGAAATAATAAAAAAATAAAGAAAACGTTTAAGGGTATAAACACTCAACTCACAACGACTGATATTTATTTAAAATTTGTTTATAAACGAAAGAACATCGAAGAGTTATTGTGGCGGAAGTTTTTAAAGAAAATTGTTTAATAAAAGTTTGCTGCTTAATATTGTTAAAAATCCTTACAAAAATATATTTAAAAAAAAATTAAAGAAAAAATAAAAAAAAAATAAGAAAATGAATTTCTTAACAGTTTGTAAAAGTTTTATAATGGTCATATTATTATTGGGAGTTTTATGTGCCCCTACAGAAAGCAAAAAAGTGATATTTTTTGGTAAACCCTCAATAAATCTCTCACAACTATTGATCACCCAAAATCGCGGCAAACCCTGTCAAAAAGGCTTTTTACTAGATCATCGTAATCGTTGTAGAAGAGCTTTATCATTTAGTCGATGTAAGTGTTTTATGCGGGTTAAAAGTTCAGTTTCAAATTAATTAAAATTATTTTCGTTTTGTTTTATTTTAGTAACACGCAGTTAAGTTAAAACAACTTCCGAAGAGTCTCTAATTATGTTGTAGTGATAAGAAAAACATGTGTCAGCAGCGGATGTAAGGTATTCTGTGGTATTTTTTGTTAGTGCCTAGAAAAAAAGAAATACCTTTAAATGGAATTTACCAAACGTTTTCACACTATTGTTGAATGGATTTCAAGTGATTGTATAATTGGTGCCGAAATATGAATTGCAAGTATTAATAACGATAATTTTATTTTCAACCTGACAACTTTAAAAGGTTTTTATTGGCGGCAAGATAGTGCGTTAATTATAGACAAAAAGTTCAACAAACATTTGCACTTGAAAAGGTGTTTTAAGTACGTATAAATATCTGCTGTAAATTAGATGTTAACTATTATCTTAAGTACTTGTTTAAAAATATTAGACAATTTCAATATTTCATTTTTGTCATGATTATAATGAAAATGTCGTAGGTTAGTGACATTGAAAGTATGAAAAACATTTTTTTTCACTTTAATTGAAAAGCAACAAACACAATATTTATCGAAAATTTATAACAATAATTTTGCTTATTTGTAATTATTTGTCAAATTCCGTAGTTATTAATTGAAGTACTTTTTTTATAAATAAGCAGACATAGCTAGTGCTATAAAGATATACAATTTAGTTTATTAATTAAAAATGATTTTAAAATTGCGATTAACAAACATGTGGCTAATGTTAATAATAGGTGTGTTTTTAAGCACATAATTTAAAGTTAAAGCTCTAAATAACTGAATAGATTTTTTTTCATCAAATATTAAATGCAGAGTGTTTTGTTAAAATTCCCAATAATTATCTAATTTTCTGCAATTTAAACAGTTATTTTATATTTTCTTATTGGCTCCACTGTGCAGTGTTTAAAACTAAAAAAGCAATTTGTTTTTAGCAAATGACCACATGTTATAAAAAAAACAGTTATAAAGATATAAACTGGAATTGTTAGTGATTTCATTTTTTGCTAAATTTTTTGGCTTTAATATTAAATGATTGATGTTTCTTTAATAACAACAGATATCTCTCTCTCTTATAAATATAATTATTTAAAAAATTAAATAATAACATATTTATTTAATAATTATTTAAAAACATACAAAATTTCCATATTTTTTTCTAATCGAATAATGTATTAAAATAATTATAATTTATTTAACCCTGCTGACCTAAAATTAATTCGAAATAGTATTAATTAATAGTTTTTAATATTTATTGTTTTTTGTATATTAAACATAAAAATGAACAAAATGTATTTATTTTCTTAGTTAGCATAAATTATTTATTTATAGTTTTAATTAACGAAATTTTTATATGACAATTTTTTTTTACAAAATGTATTAGTAAAATATTTCAAATTTTATTATTTATTCTAAAAATTATTTTTAAATTTATTTTATACTAATTTATTTAAAATTCAACTATTTTTAATTAATTAAAATTTTTTTAATAAAAACTGAATCAAGTAAAATTAATTTTTAACAAAATATAAATAAAATTAAATTGAAAAAAGTTAAGTTTGTTATTTTTTAACAAAGTATATTTTTAGGATATCGCTCGTTTACTATAAGATAGACACAAACCCAAAAAGGTCGTTTCGAAAAAAAAAATAAAAATTTTACTACTTTTTAAATAATTTTTAAACAAATTAGAGGGTTTGAAAAATTACTCCAGATTTAGGTAGTAAAGGTTAATATTTTTCTAATGACACTTTAAGTTTAAATTTGCAAAACGCATCTTCCCATTCGGAACCTTGTTTTCCAAAATATGGATTGAAATATGGCGATATCTATATACGTGTTAAAACGTGTTAAAAGTGTTTTTAAGATACATGTAAATATTTACGAAAAATCTGCGAATTCTTTAGTTCTATCTTATTTGTTTTAATTTCTTACACTATGGGACATATTGTTCATTAGTAATCCATAATTTTTAAATAAGAAAAAAATTAAAGAAAATCGGCATAAAGGTTTAGGCTTATAAACATAAACAGAATTATGAGCTAAAAAGTGATAATTTCGGGTCCGTTTGTATGGCGGCGAGGTGTAAAAATAGACCAATTTCAAAAATTTTCAACAGTCTTCGTTGAATTTTGTTGAATTATCTTCAAAAATGCAGAAGTTATAAGAGTTTTATTTTTTCAGTCGTGGTTTACCTTTTCATGGAATTGCCCATATGTTCATAAACATGTTAATTATGCAGCAATTTTATACAATATAGTTTAATGCAGCCTGAAAAAGGACCTCCTCAAAAAATTACTTTATATCAATGAAATTCGACATAAATATTTATACTAAATTCATGAGAATATAATAAGAATCTAATAATTGAATCAGAGATGTGTAAAATTCCATAATAATAAATTCAGAATGGTTGATCAAAATGACCATAGGCCATATATAGCATAATTACTTGTTTTTTAATAAAATTTCAATGACCGATAGCATAAAAAGTTTAACTTACCAGCATCAAACGTTTTAGTGCATTAACTTAGTCCTTTCAGAAATTTTTCATCCTCCCAAATCGATAAAACTAAGTTCTACAGATTTTATAGTCATAAGACAAACATATAGACAGACAGACAAACAGGCAGATGGACGGACGTACGGATGGTCATAGTTAAATCGACTTAGAAAGTGATTCTGAGCCGATTGGTACACTTTAATATTGGTGTATAACTAATATTTTTAGTTGCTACAAACATCATAATTATCAGCTAAAAACCCCTATTCAGTGGGTTCGGTTATATGGAAGCTAGGTGAAATAATTGACCGATTTGAACCACTTTCAATAACGTTTGTCCCTGGAAAGAGGCATATGTAAGAAATTTCATCAAATTATCTTAAAAGATTGCAATTTTCATAACAACGTTTACATGGACAGACGGAATATCGAACGGACATCGTTAAATCGATAAATCCCACTATAGTGATGAAGGGTACAAATATATTATAATCGAAATATTTTTATCTGAACTATTTTTAGTTTAGAACTACTAATGTTAGATATTCTTAGGTACAAATTCGAAATTAAATTAACGAATTAATTAAAGCAAAAAGATTCAAATCGGTAAATTATTTCTTATCGATATTTTTTCTGATAATTCAGTTCAATCAAACGAATTTTATATAAATAGTTTATGAATTTAGGCCTACTATCAAATTCAGTAATTTCAATTGAATTGTGTGTTTTCTTGTGAGAACACACCAAATTCGTTTGGCAACACAACGAATCTATTTTATCTGTGTAAAATTGTTGTTTCTTATCTAATCAAAATAAGATATATTTTTTAGAGAATTTACAGGTTTAACTACTCAATTAATAATATTTCTCTTCGCAGTCGTACAAAACACTTACAACATTGAGATCGCTTAAAAGATGTATGAAGAAATAATTAGTAACTTTATTTTTTAAAATTGTGTATTGAAATTTTAAAAAGTACATACTTATTGGAAAATAATGCAGTTATTAAAATATTGTAAAATGCTATTGTTAATAATTTTGTTATTGGCTGTTTTAAGTGCCTCAACTGGAGCTAAAAAAGTGATTTTTTATGGCAAATCTTCAGTACTTAAATCTGAACTATTAATTACCCACAATCGTGGAAAACCTTGTCCAAAACGACAGCTATTGGATCATCGTAATCGTTGTAGAAAAGTTTTAAATTTTAGTGTCTCTAAGTGATTGTGCTTTGTGTATTTATTATTAAAATTTTAATAATTAATTTAATAAATAATTTAATTTACGTTAAGATAAACAGAAAATACCGATCGAGAGTTTTAAGCTATTTTTAAACTGATAAGATATAAGATATTTTACGATAATTTTGTGACGAACCAACAAATATTTTCTTATCATTTTTGTTGATGATTGTATGAGATGTGCTGGTCTGGATTGTCGATAATTTTAAAAGTAAATTATAAATATTAAATGTGATCAATTTTTCTGCAAACCGATTTGTTAACAAATATTGGATCGTATCTCTGTTTTTAATATTTTCTATTAATAAAGATTTTATTTAAATTATTAATTTTGTTAAATTATTTAAAATTGTCTTTATTTATATATCTCTCCTTTAAATTCGAAATATATTAATAATTATTACCTTTCATTTGTATCTTAATATTATTTTCTATAGACAGAACAAAAAATATTAAACAAAAAACAAATCAGTAGAAAAAACACTAAATGAAATGAAATTAACTCTTAACAAAACGAAAATAAATGAAGTTTGAAAAACTTAACTTTATAAAAGACTGCAATGAGTTTTTATTTTTATTATATACATTTTTTTCTTTCTTTGTGATGACGATAGAATTCCAGAATGCTATTAAAAACAACCATAGTTGAATACAATTGGAAGGGAAAGACACCAAGATGCAAAATTTTAATAAACAAAATTATCTTAAAAATATCAATTATATATAATTAATGATGAATTTGTTTGATTCATATTACTTTTCAGAATGTGCATTTTCTTGTTATTTTTTTAGAACTCCTTTTCTTAAGTTTTCATCCCCCATAGTTTTTTTTCAACTCCACTGTTTTTTTTTTTTTTTTTTGCTGCTACTTGTTTTACCTTTAAATGAACAGTTTGTGATTTTACTAGATATAAAATTGAACAACTAAAGTCTGAAAAGAAGTTGTAGTGGTTGAAATTAAAAAAAATAAAAAGAAAATTGTATATAAATAAATTCAAGGGTTAATGATACCTTCGAAAGCTAAATGAAACGAAAAAAAAGAACAATATTGAAGTGCAATATTCGGTAGTGACGAATTTGTGATATCCTCTAAAATTTTGATTTAAGCTAAGAAACTTGAAGGCAAAATACCGAATGATGGCTTGAATATATTGTAACAAAATTTAATTTTAAGATGTTTTAGAAAACCGCATCCGAAATCTAATAATATGGTCCTATCTTTAAAAATTTAGATAGAGGGATTTACGTTTACATCAGTTATTTATGCAGAATATCATCTTAATATTAGTGTTTATAAGTGAATTTTGACCATTACTTCATTTTCTGAAGGGGTCTTTGTATGGAGGATAGAATCAAATGAGGCCCTATCTATACGAAATTAAGTAGTATCATTAAGACTTATATAACATTTAGTTTTGCCGATTTTTGACGTGATAACATATTTATGAGCTCAAAAGCCCTATTCGGGGGTACGGTTGTATGGGGGCTATACGAAATAAATTACGATCTGTAGAGTTCGAACAAGTTTTACACGGACACACAGACGGACAGAAAGTGATTCTGAGCCGATTGGCATACTTTAAGGCGGTTATAGGACCAATATTTTTGGGTGTTATAAACATCAGCGCAAACGCATAATACCCTCCCCACTATAGTGGTGAAAGGTTTAATTAAAAAGAAAATATTAAAATATATTAATTTAAAAAACACTCAAAAATTAAAAAATATAAAATAACTTAAAAAAAATATTTGTGGCAAAAAGACAAAAGTACATAATATGTTCTTCTTAACTTTTCAGAAGAAAGTTTTAAAGTTTTAAATTCCAAATTTAACTTAAATTGGAAATTTAAAGTTAAAATGCTATAATTTACTTAGACAATAGCATTTTAAGTCATTATTTTAACACAGTGATGACATTGGTTGCAAGTACTTTCCACACTCGCTTATAAGTAGGGAATTAGGTAAGTACTTACTACGATCGACTGCAAATTAGAAGTTCAATAGTTTGGTTTTCGAGAAAAAACAACATAACAAGACTAAAAAGAAAGTACCTACATAGATATATATACATATGGGCAATTCCATACGATTGTATGTGACGTTCGTAGGCCTTCAGAGTGCTATAGATTTTGTAAAAATGGCAGTACTTGGAAAACAATATTGACATTCTGCTCCATTCTGAGAATACTATATTTGCAAAAGGAATCATCCCATTCGGAATCTTGTTTTCCAAAATATGGAATAAAATATGTCGATATCATACGTGACGAAAAACTGAAGTGTTTTTAAGATTCATGTAAATATTTACGAAAATCTGCGAATTCTGTAGTTCTATCTTATTTGTTTTAATTTCTTACACTATGGGACATATTTTTAATTTGTAATCCATAATTTTTAAATAAAAAAAAATTAATATAATTTTATAATGAACATTTT